TTCGATATATATCGATAGTTCGATAATCGATATATATCGATCTTCGATATATCGATTATCGTACTATCGATATATCGAAGTTCGATAATCGATATTTTGAAGTTTGATATATATCGATAGTTCGATAATCGATGTATCGAAGTTCGATATATCGATAGCTCGATAATCGATATATTGAAGTTCGATATATATCGATAGTTCGATAATCGATAGATTGATATATCGATAGTCGAATTCAGGTTTCTCTCTCTCTTCCTTTCTTTCTTTCCTTCTTTCTCTGATTTTCTATCTCGCTGCTGCAAATGAACGAGAAAGAGTGTGAGTGCAAGAGAGAGAGAGAGAGAAAGAGAAAGATAGAAAAGGTTTTACGAAATCAGGCAATTATTGTCAGTATTGTCTGGGACATCTGCCATGCCAGGCGGTGGTCTCGCTGGGTTCGATTATACGCGGGAAGAGAAAAAAGAAAAATTCGAACGAGAGTGGCTGCTGGACCGACAGCGGCTTYTCGATCCTTCGATAGCTTCTCTTTTTCTCTGTGTATGCATGTGTATATATATATGTGTGTATGTGTGTGTGTTTGTGTAAAAAGGTAAGAGCAGAAAGGAAGAGAGTAGGAGGAGCATGTGTGCTCGGATCAAACGATGCCCTTTATGTTCCTACCTTACGAAAAGTTTAGTCTCTTTTTATTTTGTTTTTCTTTTCTATCTTAATCTCCAACCCTTTATCATATAATCGTATAAAATAACAACGGCTCAGTCTATAAGTGTACTTCGAAGAGAAAGGTACTCCGAAAATATATTCCGTTCTTTTAAACAATAATCGATACTTCTATCGAATATTTAACTATTATTTAATTATTCTAATACACTTTAATTATTTTTCAGATTATTTCAACGCATATACATTGGTTTAATCGTTACATACACATTAACTTACTTTGAATAGAAAATAATTTTAATATGAATTTATTTTTTTAGTCTATCAGATGACTGTCTTCAACTCGATTGCGTTCCTGGACCCCTAGGTAATATAAAACGCTTCAACTACTAACATTGCAAATAAAATTGTAAATGTATTAAATCATTTTCAAATTTTTACAGATACTCAAAAGTAATACAAAATGTTTAAAATTTAATGTTCATTTTTGTTTCTTGTTCTTTTTAATTCTAATAGACGTGTTAGAATAGCAGTACTCTTAGTGTAGTTACAAAATAAATAATAACATTTGTTTAAAAAATAATTTGATTTATTCATTAGTATATTGCAACAATATGAAGTAGCAGCACAATGTAAATTGTTATAAAATATATATGTAATATGGAAGACATTAAAACTATACATAAAAATCTTAATTGCAATATATCATTGATCATTATTTATAACAATACGTATTATTTATCATATTTGATATTTCATCAAATCCCATGAGTTTCTAACCATAATCTCTGTTCTGTAATACATTTACAGAATTCATTTGAAATATAATTATATTTTACATATAAAATTTTAATCAAATTTAACAATAATATTATTTTAAATTTGAAATGGAGAAACTCTCGTTGATAAAGAAGTTTTCTGTAATTTCCACGAATATTCCCTAGATGGTGTTAAACCTAGTTTATATTTTTCATTCGATTTTACTATCAGGTACCAGATTACTTTCACATCAATTAATCTATTAATTCACATGTTTTATATTATTAAACGAATTATCTCAAAAAACGTAACGGTTAATCTATAAAATAGATTATTTTTTATAAAACGTTTATATAGAAAAATTTCTAAAATATCTTAATATCGTTATAAAATACAATAAAGGCATCGTTAAAAAAATAAGAGTGCCTTTATAAAAAAAAAATACTGCTAATTTGTAGTTGTTCAATCATAAACAATAATTTAGACCGACGTAGAAGCTGGAATAGAACATACAGCCTCTTGTGCTAATGCAGCATTTCTTAATATTAACAAATGCGAATCCATATCGTTCAATGCTTGATCGATGAAAGTTAATTTTCTAGCTTGACTTTTGGGAACACCATGTTTAGTTACTAATGCTAAATGAGTAACAGCTAATACCAATGCAGCAACTCTGGCTTCCAATAGTCTTGCATCCAATGGTGGATATAAACTTCTGACTACGTCATCTACACGGGGTGGAATACGTCTAGCAACCTAAATAAATATCAATATATACATATATAATAAATAAATATTTAACGTTAATATAGCAAATAGTTAAAAGAATAATGAAATAAATACAAACATCTACTATTTCCAATGGTACTGTATTGCTATTTACTGTTCCTGCGATAGCAGTAAGACTTGCAGCCAATGCATGACAAGAACGAAGTATTGCAATACAAGGTGGTGCTAAACCAGTAGCATCATCAACCCACCTACGATATAAACAAAGCAATATATAACACATGTTTAACTTAACAAATGAATATATTATTATACCTTTCAGCACCAGCAAGCCATTCCTCACTTTCCCAAGTACCCAAACCTAATTCAGGATTATTCTCACTTTCCAACAAATCCGAACTGAGATCTGGTGAATCTTTTTGATTCTAAAATTAACAACAACAACAAATAACAATTCACATCAAATATATTCAAACACAAGCTTTAATCAATTAATTAATCAATATACTAACATAATAACAACGTTGTCTGCGACAAATAACAAGGAGTACCAAGAGTGCACCAAGAAAAACTGCAGCAAGTGCACCGAGTGCAACAGCTACTATTGTTTCCATTCCATTGGTACCAGTCAATGAAGCTGAATTACTTATTGACACCGGTGAACTCATGTTTTATTTGATTCTTTTCTTTTTAATAAAATTATATCTAATTATTACCCCAATAATTATTATAATATATAACATCAAATGTTAAAATACAACATTTATAGAAATGTTTGATTTCATTAAATCATCTACTAATCACTGTTAAAGTTTCTTTTTTTATTTTGTCAAATAAAACATTGGATGATACAGTAATACGTTTTATGGTTGAACTATCAACAATGCTATCCATTCTCTTTAGTGACAGACGGTGGGAGGCAGAGACTGTCACGGATCTTATGCTCAATTCACCAGTAACAAACATTTCATTATTGGACATATCAAACATTATGTAAGATCATGTATATTGTTCTATTCCACTTATATATATATATATATATACAATATGAATGTATTTATCATAAACATATTTAATTCATTCATAAGATTACACATATGTTATATAATATAATGTATTACAAATAAAATGGAGAATATATTAAATGTATACATATGATCAATGGTACAGTCTATTGTATGCTTAAACTTTTCAAGTCATACTTATATACACACATGTTTACATATGTGTATGTTACATGGTATGATTAGCATATATATAATATATATGAGTGAGAGTAGTTAGGTTAGGGTGTGTGTATATATATATATATATATATATATATTCTTTAAAAGCTATAACGTGGCAGCACTGCGTAGAATACCCTGTTAGAAGAATATTTCTGAGTCATATGTTTCTCACAGAAACGAAAATAGTGTTTGAAAAGGATGCTGTCAAATTCAGTGTCGTATTTAGTATTATTCATGAAATGGATAGAATTTTCTTAAACGATTTTAACACAAGTTTAAATAATCTAATTAATATCATTTAAACGTTCAAATGAAAATTTATGCATATTTATCATTTCTCGTGACAACTCATTCTTATTACGTTTCAAAGAATATATAATAATTTTATAATTAGAAGAAACTTAACCTAAATTTGAACTTTATTATTATTATTATTAATATTATTCACATATATTACGTATATATATATATATATATATATAGATAAATATTAACATTTAATTTGTTTTGTTTTGTAAATGATACGTTTATTAATTCGTTATTGAGGTTAGGTTTATTAATATTATTGATACTTGAAATATTTTACTTCGTGTTCATTTATTCTTCCAATTGTTATCGGGTGTGTGTATATGACAAGCAGATTAAGAAGACAAATTAAAGTGTTGAGTTTAGTTACAACTTATATATGGTAAGAATGAATAAAAAACCTAATAGTGCGACAGCTCGCTTAAAGCAGGATTACTTACGTCTTAAAAAAGATCCTGTGCCATATGTTCTTGCTGAACCAGTACCTTCTAACATATTAGAATGGTAACACAATGATTATTCTTTTAATTGTATTTAACATTTTTCCTTTTTTTTTTTTTCTCTTAACAATTATTTATATTCTTTTAGGCATTACGTTGTCAAAGGACCAGAAAAGACACCTTACGAGGGAGGATTTTATCATGGAAAACTTATATTTCCTGGAGAATTTCCATTTCAACCTCCTAGCATTTACATGACTACTCCTAATGGTAGATTCAAAGTTAATACGAAACTTTGTCTATCCAACACTGATTTTCATCCAGATACATGGAATCCTGCTTGGAGCGTGTCTACTATTCTAACAGGACTTCTTAGTTTTATGGTATATTAAATAGTAGACATTATAAATATCAAATAAGTAAAGTAAATGATTGAAAATGTAATTATCAATTACAGATTGAAAAGAGTCCAACCTTTGGCAGTATTAATACGACAGATTATGAAAAGAGAGAACTGGCTAGGCAAAGCTTGGAATATAATCTACGTGACAAAATGTTTTGTGAATTATTTCCTGAAACTGTTGAAGTAATAATTCAATTTTTTTTTTTTATATATAATTTGCATGTTTTTTTTTTTTCTTAGATTAGATAAATAATACAAAACATTCAATTAAATGACTTCTCTCTGTTATGTAATATTATTTTAATTATCATAGGTCATCAAAGCTGAATTAGAACATAGAAAAGAATTGGAAAAGCAAGCAAGGCATCAGTCTACCGCAGCAGAAGTTTCTTCCTTAATACGAGATCAACTACAAAGAGAACAAAGTCCGTTACACGGTGCAATTACTAATCTCGTTGTTCTTGTTGGTTTCGCAGCATTTGCTCTTATAGTTAAATATGTATTAAGGAGTATTGCAACAGAATATACTAAAAGTGAGTAGAGATATTAAGATATGAAAAAGAAGAAGAAAACAAAAGGAATTTTTTGTAAAAAAAAAAAAGATAATAATGAAGACGGTACGAACGGATCTACCGATGCACACATTTTTTTTTTTTTTTTTTTTTTACTTAAGGCTTCTCAAGACAGACGATGATTTTGTATTAATAATACTGAATTGTTAAGACGTTAGAAATATCTCTTACTTTTTTTTTTTTCTTTTCTTTTCTTTTTTTTATACCTTTGGTTTGTCATGCAATTGTACTTTCTTCCAAATAATTTGTCTTCGACTTTTAACAAAGTGAAAACATATTTTAACTGCCTAAAAATCTTTATATATATATATATATTGCATCTTTATATAATGTATTGTTAAAGTTATGTTTAACAGATGATCTACGAAAAATTTGAAATAAATTTTCAATAAGTACTTACATATATATTTCCAATGATGATTTTACAATTGAAAATATTGAAAAGCCTTAAGAAAAAGAAAGAAAATTAGCCGATAATGTAAGCTACATTGACTTGCCTATTTGATCTATGCCGAATTTGTGTGTGGAAACCTTCATTAATCTTTGATCGATGTTAGTCATGGACATTTGATAGATGTTTATATCAGGGGTAATTGTAAGATCCAAAATGTATTATAACATCCATTATTTTTAACAATGTTAATTGTGATTTATCTGTAACAACAGTCTTTCTACATTGACGTAAGAGAAGTCATTTAGAATATGAAATATTGTTAATCGTTACAATTTTGTAACATTTAACGAACATCCACATTTTGTATTTTTAATATTATTATTATTATTATTATTTAAACTTCCAAAGTATAGTTTATCAATGATCGAATCGAATCGAATCGAATTTTGAACAGAAAATCATCCAATTTATAATCATAAAGACTTCCTATGTTCGATGAAGTTAATTTGAAAAAAAAAAAGAAAAATTGTTTATATTCTTTACATCAATTTTGACAAACCAAATTTTGTCATCTGCTCGTCGATAGAAGCATTCATTTGAATGATTGTTAAATTTAAGTATATACATTAGAAATCTTATATAATAAAGTGAACGAAGAGAAGAAGTGCACAAATTTCATTGATCGAACAATCTTTGCCTCTTCGATGTGTGCCAATATATAGAAAAAAGAAATTTCATATATTATTATTATTATTAACTTATTACAAAATATCATATATATCAGGATCTTATTATAAATTCCTTGTCCTACGATTTAATTTTCAATGAAGTGTGCCATAATCAACAACAAGGGTAGATCATATATATTATCAAGCCATTTCATAGTTCGGTTATTAAGCATTGGAAGTTGTATAAATTGTACACGTTTTGTGATATAAAAAAAAAAAGCCATGAGTCTGAGCCAGTGTTGTTTATGTTTGGTCCATTCGATGTAACACAGTTCTCATTCGTGATACTCTCGTCCTTACAATTTAATCTGATTTCTTAATCACGAATCTCGCACGATATTATTGTAGGCGACAAAATGGGGAATTAAGTATCATATGCATATAATATTTGATTCATTTTTATTAAAGATCAAATGTAAATATAATTTATATATGATCGATTAGAAGAAAATGAACTATCAGAGGCAAAGACGATTGAATTTTTCTTTATTTTCTAACTATATTTATTCCAATTTACTTGATATATATATATATTTAAATATATAAATATATAAATATTTCTTCCGCTTAAAAAGAATAAAAAAAGAAAGAAAGAAAGAAAGAAAAAAAAAAGAGAAAAGATTTAAATATAATATAATGAATCGCTTTAATAAAAATATATTATATCGTCTATCTTCCTTTTTAAATCTATAAATTGAAATCTAAGTTACTTTTGATTTTTAGTTGTTGTTTTTTTTTTTTTTTTATAATTTTGTTGATAATACATGATTTTTTGTTATTAATCTATTATATCAATTATTATTATTATTATTATTATGTTATTTTATAATGAAAATATTTTTCTTCTTATCGCTATTGTTTTTTGTTTTTTTTTTTTTGGTACAAGGCACATTTTAAGTTGGTAAGATATATTTCATGATTCGATATTAAACAAGTAAAATATTAATTAAAATATTTCATAATTTAAATTCAAATCGTATATTAAAATAATCAATTGCTTTTTTAATAAATCTCCATTTTTTTTTAAATATATTAAATATGTATGAATTTTTACAAATGAAATTCAATTCTCTCGCTGATCATTCAAATTGTATGTTTAACTTTGTAATCTTTGAAAAAATCACATATATATATATATATTAAAAAATATTATATATTCAAAATAAATTTCTATTAAAAATATTTAAACACAATTGTTAAAAAATTGTCAAATGGATATGAAATAAGATTGATTATAAATAAAATTAATTGAAACAATCTACGTAGAATTATGACGATAATAATAAATAAAATACATGATATATATATATAGAAAAAGAAAATAATATAAGAATGCCTATATTATTATAATAATAATAATAATAATATAAACGAGCGCCAATATAAAATAGCACAGAAATATTTTCAAACATATCAAACACAAATAAGAAAAAAAAGAAAAAAGAAGAAAATGATAAATTAAAAAATAATTTTAGTTATTTATTTGGGTCAATATTTGTATCATTTAACTGTAAATGTTTACATTTACATAACATTACATGATCAGTTTGTGCAAAGATTTTCTTTGATATAATTAATTACATTTTTTTTTTTATTAATATTGTAAAGTTACATTTGAAATTTGTCTTAGTTTATTGATAGATCATTTTATTTATTAATATTGACCACATTCTATTAATAAAATATTGACAAATTATTTATTAATATTCAATAGAATATAAAAATCAATAATATTATATAATCAGTTTATAATACTAATCGCTTATATTTAAATAATAATTATTTTATTATAAATATTGACCCGATAAATATCAATCACACAATAAAAGAAATATAATGATAACGATTTAATTACGTACACGTTCGTTGAAATATTACAATTGATTATCGTATTAAAAAAAAAAAATAAAAACCAAAAAAAAGTCAAAAAAGAAAGAAAAAATAATAATCAATAAAATATATTATGATAATTACGATATAATTAAAATATGTAAGTAAAAATTGTCAAAGAAATGATGAAAATGATGTTGTTAATTCAACACGATAAAATGTTTTTACATTTAATGGTTGAATTTGACCGATTTAAAAGTACATGTTTATATATATATATATATATATATATATATATATATATACTTATTTAGTTAGAAAGAGAGAAAAAAGACACGATATTCTTGGAGACAGTGGATGGTGTTCGTAAAACGATAAAACCTTAGTTTTCTCTGAATGCTTCGTTGTCCAAGTGCTCTCGGGAGGAAGGACACATCCTGTGAAGTGGCTTTGGTTTTATTTTTTTCTCTCTCTCTCTCTTTCTCTCTCTCTCTCTTTCTCTCTCTCTCTCTTTCTCTTTCTCTCTCTTTCTCTCTCTTCTTTATAAGATATTTTATAAGCAAAAAATACTTTTACTTTTGCCGATCTTTATATTCTTTTCATTCATATTTTTGTTTTATTCATGTTTGTTTCAACATTATTTTTCTTATTTGATTTTGTAATTTTGAATTTTATTATATATATATACATATTTTTATTATTATTATTATTATTATTATTATTATTATTATTATTATTATTATTATTATTATTATTATTATTATTATTATTATTATTATTATTATATTTGTTAATATTTATAAAATACAAATTTTTCTTTGATATTTCAATATTGTTAATATACAATATATTAATTAAAAATATATAATATTGGATCATTTAATATATGAAAAGTGGTGTTAGAAATCGATATTATAAAAATATTGACAAAAAACATAATTTATAATGTTTTATTTATAATTAACAATGATTATATTTTTTTTTTTTTTCATTAAATTAAATCCCATTAAATTGTTTTATAAATAACAATATATATATATATATATATTAAAACGAACGTGTACTTGATCGTTAACAAAAAAATAATTAATTAAAACAATGACGTTTATTTGCATAGCGTATTCGCAATGTGTATGTGTGTGCATACGTACATGCATGCATGCATGCATACGTGCGTGTGTAAGAATGTATAAAAATTTGTTTTCATCTAATTATTCTTTATATATAATATATACAATAGTTTTCGATTAGCTTCCTATATTAAATTAGATTAGATGTAAGCGTGCCTTTAAGATCAATTAAAAATGAAACTTTTGGAATTAAGGAGCTTAAAACTTCTTCCCATAATTATAATTATAATTATAATAATAGTAATAATAATAGTTATAATAATAGTAATATTATAATGAGACAATGAAATAAATTCATTAATGTTATTATCTACGCCATTTACAATCATAATTTTCATAATCGTATTGGTAGGGTAGGTTGAAAAGTTTTCAGCTTAACGTTGAAACAATTTTTTTTTCTTTATTTTGTTTTTTTTTTTTTTTTTTTTTTTTTGATCAAACTTATGTTTAATTTTTCAACGTAATTTCAAAAGTTTTTTTTTCTTTTATAAAAAAGTAAGCTCAGAACTTTTCAACTCATCCTCTTATATGTATTCATACATATATCACGTATTATATTTAATGCAATTAGAGAGAAGCTCCTTATATAAATTATTATAATAATAATAATAATTATATAGTAATTATGATGATGATAATATGATATCGAGATTTTCACCGATAACGCAAAACACATGTACAAAAATCTTTTTACTAAAGAGAGATGTTTGTAACAGATTCTGTACAGGGGACATATTATATATATATATATATGTATATTAAAAAATAGACTGTTTAAATCTTTCGTTTTCAATTTTTTTTGTTTTGTTTATTCTTGTTAATATGTTATAATATTTAGTATGCATGATACGAAGTTTAATTTATTTAATTAATAATTAATTAATTCTACTTTTTTGATTTTAGAAGAAGTAGAAATAGGTATATTGAAAATGGTGGTATTGTATATCTAGTGTTAATTATTTTAACAGATAACAAAAAAAAAGAGGAAGTTAAATTTAAGATATAATAAATGTGACAAGATGTAAGGTAAAAAAAAACACACACACACATATGTTAAATATAAGTATAACAGTACGTGATCAATTCTCCCATTCCCCCCCCCCTCTTCCCTTTTTTTCTAGATGTTACGAAAACAAAAAATCTACGATAATCTATGAAAACAAGCCGCAAAAGAGAAGCAAACAGTTATTTATTATAACCCACGAAATAACAAGGAAGTCGTAGACCTCTTTTCGGAAGTTTTTTTTTTTTTTTACTTTCTTTCTTTCTTTCTTTCTTTTTTTAGGGTTTGAACGTGTTACGAACGCCCTTATAACATAAATCATTAAAAGCGAGGCGCCAGAATTGAATTTGGTTTCGGCTCGATTCCTGGCCAAATAGGATTCACGTGTTTCTCTACGATCATTATAATTTTCAACAATTTATATTCATTCATAATTAATTTATTATCATCATTATTTTAGATAATTCATACTAATTTTTACATATATAAATCTGGATACATTTTGTTTTTATAGTAACACATTTATGTATTATTGTATTTGTATGAACGAGGCTCGTTTACGAGGCTCGTTTACGAGGCTCTTTTACGAGGCTCTTTTACGAGACTCGTTTACGAGGCTCGTTTACGAGGCTTTTTTACGAGGCTCTTTTACGAGACTCGTTTACGAGGTTCGTTTACGAGGTTCGTTTTCTAGGCTCTTTTACGAGACTCTTTTA